GAGAGAGAGAGAGAGAGAGAGAGAGAGCGAAACAGGGAGAGAGAGAGAGTGTGAGAGAGGGAGAGAGAGAGAGCGAGAGAAACAGAGAGAGAGAGAGCAAAACAGAGAGAGAGAGAGTGTGAGAGAGGGAGAGAGAGAGAGAGAGAGGGAGAGAGAGAGAGAGTGAGAGAGAGAGAGAGAGAGAGACATTGACTTCATTGGCTGCTTGTTTTACTACAGCAGTGAACGGTTGCCATGGAAATGGGACCCAGATCATTCTGTCATTTCATCCGTTTTAAACATTTCTATTTAGAAAATTAAAGACATGTTGTAGAGCGACAGCAGACAGGAACTGTGTCGGAGTCTCTATGCATTGTTCAATCTCCAAAGATCCTCCAAAAGTCTGCATTCTAACATCGAATACATCACACGATGCATCAATCAAGTCAATTATTGATGCATCGCATCGTCGGTAAACGCATAATCCAGATCGATCAAAATCAGTAAATATTAGCAGCCTGGTTGTGATGTTAATGACAGAAGTGGACACTATGGACATAGTCATACTGATTGACCAACACCAAAGACATTACTACTTTTCCATGGGAAACTAAAACATCACAAGTCGTACTGTAACATCTCACGTATTGTCATTTAACTTACCAGATGTCCACTTTGTGAGCTGCTTGATTGAATGTGTGATTTCGTAATCTTAAAACAGCTGCTGGAATCATCAACAGCTTTAGTCTCAGTGAGATTATAGCAGTCTGAGGAGGAAGGTCAGGTACAGGCTGGCCTTCGGAGGATCCAGCTCTTGACTCCAGCTCGAGCTCACACACACACACACACACACACACACACACACACACACACACACACACACACACACACACACAGAGAAAGGTCAGGGTTAGTAAGGCTATCACTGCATCAGCTAAAGCCTCGTCCAGCCTGCATGTGTGTGTGTGTGTGTGTGAGAAAAACAGTGTGGGAATTTATGTAGTTGTGTGTGTGTGTGTGTGTGTGTAGCCTATATCTATGCTCTTTTAATGGTCTGCTAATCCCAAATGCATTTGGCTGGGAAATTAATCCAAGGCTTGTCAAAGCCAAGCTCTCTAAAGCCCTTTCTATCTCCCCCTCTCCCTGTCTCTCCCTCGATCTCTCATTCTTTCTCCCGGGCTACTCTCAATCGGTAGGCCTGTATCTCCAGATGGTATCTTGGAGGTAGGTGTGATATCAAGGCAGAGGGAAAAAGAGAGAGAGAAAAAGAGAGAGAGAGAGAGAGAGAAAGAGGGAGAGAGAGAGAGAGAGAGAGAGAGAGAGAGAGAGAGAGGATGACCTGTGATGCTATCGGAGCATCCTCATTGGAGGCGGAGAGAGAGAGGACAGGGGGGTTCATTTGTTGCCATAGTGAAAAAGTAGATTATCCACCGACAGCATGATGCGCTGATGGACGAGTGAGGGATGCTGTGTTTCTCTAGGGGCATTCACCTGTCCTGCAAGCAAAGGTATGTAACTTCACTTGCTTTTCCATTCGTGGGGCAGTGGCGTGACCGAGTAAAGACAATTTCTCATGTATTTATTTCTCTGTACAGCAGTCAAGTTCATGTGGGGATGCATGTCAAAGTGGCTGCAACAAGGGGATGGACAAAACATGACAAACAATCACTTCTTTAATATTCCCGGTGTGAAAAGGTGTCTATAGGATACTCACTTGGAGCCGATGGTGACATCTGATATTTTTTAATCTCCTATAATTCCTTCCTTCTACTGCAAGCTTTATGTAACGTCAGTGACATGGCAGCTACTGTCGTTTTTATCTTATTTTTAAAAGGGAATATTGTTTAGCCCATTTGATGCCAAGACACATTTCCAAACAAAGAGTTGAGGAAAGCCTGAAAACGAAAGAGAGGTTTCGATAAGATAGCCTGTTCATTTGTCTTTTTGTTTTTTTAATCATTGATTCAAGCAAAGTAAAAACAATAAAACAACTCAAATTGAAAAGCCCACAGTTAGATTAAACGTGCCATTAAAAACAGGGGACATGGAACAACTATTTCCGTGCAAAACCTAGATAGACCGTGGTTGCTGGCAGTGGCAGTCAGTCAGTGACATATTTGAGTGGAGACGTTTGCAGGAAAGCAGGATGTTTCCATTAGATTTGTATTGATTTATTTTTTTTTTATCTTTAATGATTTGATCTCTGTGGGTATTTTAAGTGGACGCCAGGCGAAGCTGTAAGCCCACAGCATAGGTTAATTGCTCTTTACTCCCGTGACGGCTATGAAACTTCAAATGTTATCGATCTCCTCCAATCGTTGTCACCAGCGCACAGTGTCACCTCTGATGTCTATTTGATCAGATGGGGAGACAGACAGTCCACCTCGTGCTACTAATTAGGCTATAAGAAGAACCATGGATACAGCAGGCTATTTTTTAACTCATCTATTTAAATCTGCTTTTAACCTGTGACGATATACGTACGTTTTTGTGTCGGTCCTTGCTGTTATATCATCTCTTTTGTTTATATTGTTGTTGCTTTTATTGTTTCTGTTATGTATGCAAAGTGCCATTGAGTACCTTTTTAAAGCGCTATACAAATAAAGTATTATTATTGTTATTGTTAATTAAGTATCGGCAGAGGGACCAAGAGGGCGCTAGATAGACAGAGTGGGATAAAGGGAAATGACAAAACAAACATGTGCCGAGATATAGAGAGAAGAAGACACTATATCAAATAAATCAATATGCTCGGTTTGACCACACACGGCACAGTTTATGTCTGTTGTTCCCTTTGCTGGCGCGACTTAATAAATCCTACTTACGACAATGTGAACCTTCTACAACACCTTCTGGCAATAGGCTACTTAAAGTGCTGTATATTCACGCCATTAAATCACATTTTAATTTGTTAGAATTAAACCGAAGAGGAGCGAACGAAACAGAACACCGGAACTCAGCTCTGATTGGCTGAATCGCGCTCGAGTCCGGTAACAGGTGTTACGTGGAATTCTGTGCCCCCATTAAATAAAACCGCGTCTCCTTCACGGCGTTGTTTTAATGGTTGACGACTTGTTGATGTTAAATGGGAGAAAAGTGGAGTTTGGGGAAAGGTGGAATCACACATTGTTGGGGAAACAGACTTTAGCAACGTAACGTTAGCTAAAGTCTGCTAGGCTAGGCTAACGTCTGCGGAAGAATTTAAGCTAACGTCAGTTAAATAAATGTGCAAATCATAAAGTAGAGTAACACTAGCTTAACGTTATTAGTTTAGCACATTTGTATTGGTGACATAAATACGTTTTAAAAACATCTTCGCTCCATTGTTTATGGTATTGAGGTAAGAACATGCTAAGCTAAAGGCAAGACAATCAACTTTAGACACACAACAGGCCCGTTGTATGACAACTGCTCTCTTTTAATTAGTGGTCTGCAAACCATCTGCTAGCTTGAACAGTCTCATAAGCAAAGGTTTTCTTCTGGTTTTTCTTCTGGAAGACATGAGATGAAGGACAGGAGGATAAGGCAAGATGGATGATGTGAAAGAAACGTTCCAAATCCAAACTGAGAGACCAAAAGGATGTAGCTACAAAGGAAAAGAGAGGAGGCTAACTTAATGAAAACATGGGTTATTTTAGTGAAATTTATTTGAGGGAAAATTAGGGCACACTTGACTGGAGGATAAATTAATAAATATCGAGAGTTGGAAAGGGATGGATGAGGGGGGGGGGGGGGGGGGGGGTGTGGGAAAACAGAGAGAGAGAGAGAGCGATGAGCGGAGGGCATGCGGGGTGAGGGGCTGTGGAGAGGAAAAGGGGGCGGGATGAAGGAGAGAGGTGTTTGGAGACAGGCTCAGGTGTGCGTGACTGGAAAACGTAGGGAGCTCGGAGGCTGCACAGCAATCGGGACCGCTCCGGTGTGTGTGACAGTTGACATTGGGCTACACGTTATCGGCAGCGTCGTTCCTCTGTGGTAATATAACTTGCAACCTAATTATCAAGCGGGACCGTAGCAGTGGCGCCGGAGAGACATAGATTCATATAAGGTAAGGTTTGCAGTAGGATGTTACAGGAATATATAGCCTTAATGACAGACCACCGTGTTTTATTCAGACTTATCCTCTCTACCCTACTTAATATTCTGCTCAGAGTGATTTTGTCGCACTTTGATAATACCTATTGTTCTTGCAGTATTTGTAAAGGGACTCACCTGCATTAAGATCTGGACTAGTTATCCTTGATTTACATTATAAGGTTATGTCCCGTAACGGTGTAACCTAGTTATTAAAAGAAAAGAGCAGCCAGTTGCACTGATAGGCTGTAGGAGATACAGTCATGCCAATAAGAAGGAGAGGGATCACAAACCGGGTTTTCATCTGTGCATGCTGTGGCTATGTTCATTTCAGACGGTGTCTCTGTCATGCTTTGCACCATTCGCTTGTAAAAAGAAAAAGAAAATCGTGTGTGTGTGTGTGTGTGTGTGTGTGTTTAATTCGGTGCAAATGACGGACTCTGATCTCCCATTGCCTGATGCACAGCGCTGCGCCAGTCATTGTTGTTGTCGTCTCTGGATTTTGATTTCTCCTTGGAGAGAGAGGCAGTCCGAGCAGACGCTGTTCGTGTATGTCAGTGATTACTTATACAAAAAAAAGACCACAGCAGTCAATGAATTCATGTATTTGGGACGCTGTAACATCAACTAAACCACAGTAGAACAACAAAATAAATAAAAATCAAAGTACAACGAGGTCGCAGAAAAGGAGGCTGCAAGTGATGGAACATTAGAAGTGATTTAAGGTCAGAGCTCGTTTGGGAGAGTAAAGCAGTCGCAGCTGTGTCACACCTTGTCTGTGCCACTGCAGCAGGTGAAGTCCTTATTAATGTGTTGGCACCCTCTGACCACGTATACATGCATGCATGGATTATTGAGACTATATAATCCCATAGAGTCAACCGTTATCAGCAGCACGTTTACGGTGACATATTGTCTTTATCACATACTGAATTAGAGAGATTCTGATGCTGTGTGACATCCTCCTACCCTTTACTCTCCGATAAGGTCATTGTGTATCATATCTTATTTATTTAATAAGACTTGGGATAGAATGAATGAGGAAATTGGCTGTAGCAGTGAGGGGAAAATACACAAGGGACAGACTGTTGTGATTGTTGAGTCTGATTGTTGTGAGTGTTGGCGTCTCCTAGCCTCAGCGATGTGGCCTGGGAGCCAGGAACAGCTCCTAGTGGCACTTAGAGAATTCCGGAAAACAAGGCAGTGGTTGATGATCGAAAGGAAACCTTTCAACTTTAAACATGCTGAAAAAAACCCCTTGTTTCCCGAGAATCAGGTGCAAAAAATAGTACCTCCTGTCCACTCGGGAACAAGAGGCATATGGAGAGACACATTGTCACATGCCCACTCAGCAAAAGCCTTCCCAGTGAATAACTGAAGCTCCCCAAAAATACTGCAGCTTCCTGAAATTGTGTACAAAACCGAAAAAAGCAGTGTGACCCATTTTAGTTGCCAGAGAATAATTTCGGAAACACTACGATATGGTATCATGGTGCATATTTGCACTATGTCCGAGAATGATTTACATTTGTCTTACTTTAATGTTCCTCATTCAGCCTGTCAAAATATGCAGAAAAAAAGTTTCTTTTACAGTCAAAGTCAAGCTGTTCACATGACGAAAAGAGCAACGGCAATCTATTTTGAAAACTCCAGACGCTGCTTAATGACAAACACAAATGACTGTGCGTCATACAGGGAAAGAAAGAGGAAATAAATGTGTTTGTGGAAAACGGATTCTCTCAGATAAATTCTAATTGTTATTGTCTCTGTCTATAGTAAATTAAAGGCTTCCACAACAACACATAAAACAGTGTGTCAGCACTAGCAGCACTAATGAAACTCGGTGAATTGAAACAAGACAGAGAGAAGGAGGGAGCATGTTTAGTCTCTGCCTATGTTGTCTGTTTATGTCTGTGGAGAAGTTGATTTGGAAGGTTTTATAATGCCCCTTGTGTGTAGTTTGGATAGAACTAGAGATACAAATGCCTAATGGCGTGTGCAAGATGTTTGTTTAGGCAATGAGGATTTGATTTTCTTTTCCTTTTCAGCTACAGTTAGGCCTACGCAACAAGAGAGAGACACACACAGAGGGGGAGCGTGACAGAGAGACACAGCATGTATGTGACCGAGTGTGTGAGAGAGGCATACGGGAGGACTGCAAATGAAACGGTGTCTTGTCTTATAGGGAGAGAGAGAGAAACGGGCGGTGAAAGGATTTTGGTGAGTGGGAATGTGTCGTAGCTGCGTTATCAGTGTAATCATAAGTGAGGAGAGTTTAAAAACCATCACATTTTTACATTAATGTGCCAGTAGATATGGAGAATGGGAGACAGAGCGACGATTACGTCATTGGTAGAGACGGAGTGTGTGTGTGAGATAGAGAGAGCAGAGTTTTGTTTGAAATGTTCATTATTGGAGCAGCAGTTAGCCCTGTTGCCATCCTGACACTGTCATGTTAATTACGTTCAGCGAGACTCTCTGTCCCTTGATGCCTCTTTTTTTTTTATCACTGTCTCCTTCTTCTTCTGTTTCCTTTCTTATCTCCCTCTCTGGCTCTATCTCTCGTCCTCTCCATCTTTCTCCATGCACTTCTGCCTTCTCTTCCCCCCCCCCCCACCACCTCTCCCTCTCCCCTCTTCTCGCCCCATCTTCCCCTCATTCAGTCTTTTCATCTAATGCGCTCCGTTTCCTTCTCCTTCCTCCGTGCTCCTCTCATCCTCTATTTCTATGAAATTCACTACACTCCACCTTCATTTCTCTCCCTCCACCCTTTCCCCGCTCAGCTAACCACCAACATCCCTGTCATGACCTTGATCCTGTTTTGCATAAGCAGTGGATGCCGTCGTTTGCTGTCTAAACTGTCCCAGCTCCCCTGCTGTTTACGGTCAATTAAAATCCTCCATTGCAGTTAAGTATTTGTGTTGCTCTGAGGTGAAGCAAATTACAAGACTTGCCCAGGAAACTGATGCCTCCCCCCTCGCCTATTTTACATTATGCATTACTTATGCTTGGTTTATTTCTTGTAGCTATGTGTCCTGTATGTCTGTTTGAACCATGCAAAAGGGTTTCTTCACTGCTTCATAACCTTCATAAATCTTCTATAATTTATAACGAGGAACTTGCAATGATCTCCTTTCTGTCCTAGGACGAAAGGAATACAAAATACCAATGAATGCACAGTTTTTGCCAAAATCTTCGTTTCAGTATCCAAAACTATTTATACGGTAATGATAACAACAACTGGGGCTCCAATTTGCAGAGAACACCCAAAAGCGAAAGTAATGCCATTACAGCAGCAGGAGCTTAAGATGTAACATGCCAAGTTTTAATTCGGTTAGCGTCAAGGGGCAGACACTTGAGGAACGACATGGAGTTTTTATTTGGTGCTCATCATGGCTTTTCAATCTTCACGGGACCATAAGAATAATAGATTAAAGAAATAAATGTGGCTGCCAGTCGTTTTATGTGACTTTGTTGGTGTCTCAAGTGAGTGCTGTATAAAACTTGTGGGACAACCAAATATTCCTCACAGCAGCATGTGAAGTGTGATACGCCGCTGCGGTTATGTTATTGATATTATGCTGACACAGTGGTGACGATGGTGACTCCGCTCAGATCACAGTGATTTAGAGCTGCGCACCAGGAATAAAAGGGCAGGGCCGAAAAGCTGGGCCAGAGTCTAGAGACGATTCTCTGGTCATCATATTAAGCTTCATTAGGAACCAACAGTAACAGCTCATTATGTTGCTCACTGTAATGGTCATTATGTTGATTTTATTTGCACAGTTTGCAAATTTATTTGCAAATTTGGCTTTAGTTTACATAGTTTTCTCTACATGTGTGGAAAAAGTCTGTCAAGCTTAAGCAATGACTGTCTACGGGCTGTGATTATTAAAGAAGTAAATGGATCAACTGGTAAACTACAAACAAGCCTGTGTGCCGCAGCGTGCTACTAAGATGTTCAAATGCTAACAGTGTTTTCTGCTCACAGCTTTATGTGAACATGTCTGTCTGTCACCTGTTACTGTGTAACTGGGGGAGCCTGAAGTTCTTTCAGCCAATGAGACTTAGCCCAGATTTTCTTTTGAATTTCCCAGGTTGCACTGCTGCACCTGTCGCCGTGATGGTCCCACCTTAAAATCCGAGGGAGAGAACGACAAGTCAGAAGAAAGGAATACATTGTTGTCATCCATTCCGAACAACTCCTCTGTGCCACAAGCTTTTGCCATGGCCAGGAAAAGTGTTTCTCGGACAAGTAGTTTCCTGTGACGGCTCTATGACGAATTTGAGATCCGCTTCTCCTTTGTTACCTCAACGGACCAAGATGATTTTTTGTCTGCTGCTAGTTCTGTCCATTTGGGTGGGATCTTATGACGCTGACTCCGCCCAGTCCGAACGGCGAGTTGTGACACACATAGCTGGTGACATCATCATCGGAGCGTTGTTCTCTGTCCATCATCAGCCTCCTGCTGACAAGGTAAGCTCCTGCCCTGTCTGCAGAATGGTTTGTGTGTCACAGTTATAGTTGATCTGTTTTTGTGACTGTAGATTTTGTGTAAATCTGTAATCCTGCCTGGATTTGAACGAAGCAGAAGATGGATACAATTATGCTCAGAATAATTATTGGAGATCATTTTTGGGCAAATTTGCGATCTATTGGACAGAGAGTTATAACGCTGCTCTGCTTATTAACAACATATTCAATTTGTACAACAGGTACCTCCATAGGAGTTCATGAACCACTTGCTTCCCCAGGAACCTATTTGACATTTAAGCTTTTTTTCCATCTAACTTTTAATAGTTGCAAATGGCCATGAGAATATAAATCCAACATTAGCCCAGCTGTGAAGCAGACATGTGTTAAAGCCCAAGTTTTTACATGTGTCTTACTGTTCATACAGGCTGCTAACACAATAAAATGTGTCTGATTAATGAATGTCATCATCAGTAATGACAAAATTTAGACAACATTGTTATCTAAAGGCCACTTCAATTTCACTTGATTTCTTCTGCCACCCTGTCTGCACAGGTACATGAACGCAAGTGTGGCGCAGTGCGAGAACAGTATGGCATCCAGAGGGTGGAGGCCATGATGTACACACTGGACCGCATCAACACTGACCCACACATCCTTCCCAACATCTCCCTGGGCTGCGAGATCCGGGACTCCTGCTGGCACTCAGCAGTGGCTCTGGAACAGAGCATCGAGTTCATACGGGATTCGCTCGTCTCCTCTGACGAGGCCGAGGAGTGGGCTGAAAGAGCGTCCTGGGGAGGCGGAGGAGGTGGAGGAGGCGGAGGAGGTGGAGGACCCACGATGAAGTGTGCAGACCCCTCTGCTACTCCGATGCGGGGGAAGAAACCCATCGTGGGTTTAATTGGACCAGGGTCAAGCTCGGTAGCCATCCAGGTCCAGAACCTTCTACAGCTGTTCAACATACCACAGATTGCCTACTCTGCCACCAGTATGGACCTCAGCGATAAGGTGAGCCCGTGTACCTGTAGACAAATATCTAGGCCATTGAAGTTGTACAGAAGTAGGCCTAGGAACTGGAGAGTTAATGTATTTCTGCTACTTTAATGTGACTTTAATTTAATTAAATGTTTACTTAACTGAATGTTCTAGATGCTCCCGTATAATTCTGCCACTCATTGATTTTTATCTCCATTGTTTCAGAGCCTTTATAAGTACTTTATGCGGGTGGTGCCTTCGGATGCCCAGCAGGCAAGAGCTATGGTGGACATTGTCAAGAGATACAACTGGAGCTACGTGTCTGCTATACACACTGAAGGTACAACCACCCACACACTCCGTCTCTGACTTTTAAACTCGTCTCCTAAGCTCAGACATGCACACACACACACACACACACACACACACACACACACACACACACACACACACACAC